AGCTGCTGGGTTAGCATCACTGCTGCAGGTCAGAGTCACTGAGCTGCCCTCCATGATCTCACCAGAGGGACTCACTGACACAGAGGGAACCTTTGGAGCGTCTGAAGGATAGTCTATATTAACACACAGGATGAGAATACAATCAAAACACAGTCTGTATCATTTGTTCAAGTTTAAATTATCTCCACATTATTGTAGCTTTATGAAGAGGAGTAAACTCACTCAATGTAGGAGAAGGGAAACGCTCATGTCCTTCTATAGCACAGTGATAGTTGTCTCCAGCATTAAAGTGTTGGAGCAGAAAGTATTTTTTCCGTCCAACAAGTTGTTTGTTATTCTTGAACCAAACGTAGGAAAGATGATCAGGGAGCTGACAACTGCTGTGACAGGTCAGCTCTGTCCAGGTAGGATATGGATTGGCTGTTGATCTCCTCACATGTACCTGGAGCTGAGGGTCTGTGAACAAACATGTTCTTTTATTTCAACACACACACGAACATTTCAAACTGACTGACTCTAATGAAAATGTTACCTTTGAAAGACAAAGTGACTCCAGCTGAACCAGTAAAACTGTCTTGGTTTGTTATGAACCTGAACTTGTACACAGCTGAGTCTGTCTCTCTCAGGTCAGAGATTCTCAGAGTGCACTTGTTGTTTTCACAGACATACTTCACACGACCTGAATACTGTGACTGTGTTTTCAGATCCACATTAAACTGATTTTCTTTAAACCAGAACGTTTTCTGAACTGTAACTTCACGGTCATTCAATCTGGATGGGTATGTGTAGGAACAGTTAATGTCCACTGTTGATCCTCTGGGGACACAGATCTCAGTAGAAGTGTATCTCACATCCCAGCCATTCTGACTCCGTACCACTGTAACAAAGAGCACATCAGAGAATCAGAAGATAAACTGATACATTTATAAAACTACCTCCATGTATTTTCTCTGGTGAATCACCAGTCGGCAGGTTTTCATTTTAAGATGATGATGATGTCAAGATGAGTGAACTTTCAGTGAACAAAGAATACAGGGAAGTGCCCTTTAGACTTCAGTGTGTGAGAGAAAACACAGTTGGAGGTGAGGAACATGAGTGACCTTGTATAAGTTGCTCTTCTAATGGAGCAAACTGGCCAATATGGAGGAAATGATCTGTATCTTTTATGCAGAGTCGACCAAAGATGGACGACACGTCTCCACTTCCTCCCACGATCCAGAAATGAAGCCAAAATATCCTGGAYACCAACGCTGCCATCTTTCACATTTGGAACCACAGTCTGCACAGTAGTGATCCGGAGACGGAGCCACAGTATCAAGGTCCCGCCGATACACAAGCTCCACCAATCGTGGGGAAAGTCCAGACTCAATTGTGCTGACGTTCTTTGACGTTCATGTGTGAAAACAGCTCTTACTTTTCACCACTGCTGTTTCTGGTTCACAGTATTTTCTGTTACTAAGCAAACAACTGCAGAGCACAGACAATCAGCTTCCTGTTTACAGGGGCTCAGTGTCCGTCACTAGCTGCGGTTTCTGGTCTGAMATATCTACATCTAACTACACCTGACACCATCAGATAGAGACGAGATACATGGAGAGGAAACACTTTTGACAACTCAGACATCCGAGAGAACTAAACTGATTCTTCAGAAGACAAAGATGTTGGACACCATTGTTTTAGTCTTTAACAAAGTGTTTTAACAGCTTGTTATATTATATATTGTTGCCTGCATGTCTCAGTGGGTTTTAACATTAATGAGCCCGGACACTCTGGACTCAGCCCCAAATGTTTCACAGTGCAGCTGACGCCCCTGGAAGAAACCATCTTTGAGAAATTTSTRTTTGACTTTWTAGATTGGACCATGTTCCATCCACTAACGTGGAGGRGGCAGAGTTTATGACCTACACTGCAGCCAGCCACCAGGGGGTGATCAAGATGCTTTGGCTTCACTTTTGGGGAGCAGTCATGTCGTCCATCTTTATTTACAGAAGTAGAACACTAGTACTTGTACTACACTAGTGTGTCAGTACTGACAGTAGTACACCAAGAGTTCAATGTTCCCATGCAGAAAAAAGTATTTAAAAACACATGAAGTTATGGTACAATACA